CCAGCGTCGGTTGGCTTCTCGTACACTGTGGTCTTTAGTCTCCCCCCCCCAACCTTATGTGTCATGAAGTCTAAGGCCAGTGTACCCGAAGTTGACTCCATCTCCATACTAAATTTGATCTGTGGACTTAGTTCATTCAGATAATTGTAAAGCTCATTAACCTTATCCCGTTTCATGACGACGAAGGTGTCATCTACATACCGCCAGAATATCTCAGGTGGGTAGGGGAATCCGGCTAAAGCTCTCTGTTCAAATTCTTCCATAAACATTTGCCAAAACCGGGGATATTGGAGATCCCATTGCTAGACCTTGTTCTTGAATATAAACCACTGAGTCAAAAACGAAGTGGGTGAGGTTCAGACATGCTTTTATGCCTTCCACTATTTCATCTACCGTAAGCTGTGTTCTTTCTGAAAGCGTGGTGTCCGCTAACAGCGTGTCTTGGGTCGCTCGAGCTGACACATGCTAGTGTGCGGTTATCATCCGAAATCCACTTGACCTCAACCCCTCTCGAACTAAATTGTCGGAGTACTCACAACCCCACAAAGACCAGGGAAAATCTAACAGCGGCACCCGAGGTGAATCATCAAGTGAAACACCCTGAATTGGAAGATTAAGGAACGAAGAGCGATCGTAACTAATTTGAAACCCCTCCAACCCATCAATTCAAGATTTTGGCACCCACACTAGCCGACAAGAGCCGTTAATTGACACTCAACACTGATCTAGTTTGAAGAGGACTTACTGATTGGTTCCCCGTCTGTCTTATAACCTGGCCAATTTGGTGACCTGTTCACTTGGCCTGATGAAGCTTTTGTGTCAAAAGCGAAACGTTGCCCAAATAAAAACTACCGATTGTTTATCAAGCTCTTCTGAAACGATGACTTCTCAATCGGTTCCAAACCTTTTCCAGTTCCAAAATCTCATTCCATATAAATTATGACGGATAGCCAGTGGCACGCTTAGCGTTGGCGACTACTGTTCTCGGCCATAAGCAGCTTATCAAGGCGAATAACAGCTGTGTTAGTTAGCTCAGGCGTTAGACTTGATTTTGGTTGGAGTCACTCCTTGGAATCTTGATCGTTTCCTGGGAATGAGACGCCTGACGATTCCTCAGACTTCGTCATTTGAGTCGTATGGCAGCCATGCATTAGGAGTACGGTGGTTCGATTTTAAATGCTCGTGACCCGATGGAAAGTCCCATCCCGTTTCGCTTTGCTCAGTTGCACAAGGTTAATCTTATCATTATTGTCAACGCATCCTGTCACCGTCTAGGTTTATACAAACATCACTCCGCGGTTACCTGCGTCCAGCTCACGAGAAACTTCGTCGTTTCGTCCAGCGATGACGGTACGGTCAAACTCTGGGACCGCGTGTCCGGCGCTTATGTCCGCGATCTCATTCGGCTGGACGGTGCTGGTCGTGGAGGTGTTGTGTGGCGCATCGTGGCATCCGAAGACAAGCTTGTATGTGCAGCTGGGAGCCGTAATGGCATGGAAACCACGAAGTTGATAATACTCCACTTTGATAGGGCATGTGCAAAACCACCGGATCTACATCGCACCTGTTCAAAGAGATCCAAACCTGCCCCACCACCACGACTGAGTGAGGTCCTTGCAGCTCGATCGACCTACACCAGTGAAACAGTTCAGACTAATGTCTAGAGCAACCATTGTATATAAACCTATTTTTGTCTTCTAATGCGAAGATTTACGAGTGTTCACCCAATTATACATATTTCCCTGTAAAATCATCATTTATTGATGGATACGTATTCTAAAACATTGGAATGGTTCATTTCTAGATGTCATATAACGACTCAAATAAGTGGTGACCACGGGACCATTTCGGGTCAAATATTTCCCTAACTGTCAGGCGGCAGCTCTTCGCTGATCTTATTTTCTTATACAAGGGGCCTTACCTGTGGGACTTTGTCAGTGATACCTCCTCGAGATCGTCCATACACCCGTCGTATGTGGCAATTAGATCCAAAACGTAATTTTCAAGTATACGCTGACTGCCTCTTATAAATGACTGGAAACCTCAGCTCCAGAAATTTAATGGTTGGGTAAAAAACTATTCAAGTAGGAACATAACAGCTTCATTGCAAATAAGCGATTGGAAAACTACGGACAGCGTCGCGATGTTCAAAGCACATTTCCCAACTTTAATCAAGGCTACCCGTTCGGTTGGCATCTCATCCAATACACGTCTGAACACTCGAGTACCGCGGTCGTCGTTGGTTGGCTGTCTGAACATCCAATCATCAGCCCTCCGTAGCTGAATGGAAACCGACTGCTGCGCATATTTGTACTTACTGATATACACTTCCCCATCGCATCATCCAACGACCCTATTGAAACTCAATGGTTACTCATTCAAAACGGATTACTCAATCGAATTAGCACTATCAGCCAAAAATCACACAATAATGGTATGCGTATACACGTTGGTAAGTATGCCTACCGTAAATCGAAACTAAGTGATCAGATCAGACCTTCATTTTTAAATTGCGATTATTCGGACTAACCGGGACTTACTTGCGTTTCATTCAGACCCAGTTAACTATCGGCATTCTTGTCGCGCAACATAGTCCATTTTTCATCGGACGTAAATGAGGCTGGTTGGGTGGTGGCCAACTGATGAGATCGAATTGTGACGGGGACGTGAAAATGACACGGCGCTATATCACACAATCGCTAAACGGAATAGTTTATTTTTGTGATGACAAGGTGCACACTACCTTCAAATATAGAGCAACGTTCCGGCGTAGACGTCCTACTCGAACTTTGAGGAGTAATGCACCGACAAGTTGTGTATGCATTTACTAGTGAATAGAGCCAGCGCCCAGGTGAATAGACCCACCTTAGTTTGTATTAGGGACCGTTACTTAAAAGGACAAAGACAGACCTTCACCTACAAATTGGAGAAATATACACGGTCAGAAATATGCTTCGATCGTCTTCAAGCATGCGACCCACTAAAGTAAATCCATTGACTGGTGAATAGTGAACATTCCGGGGAAATAATCCCTCTGTGAACCAGACATTTCTAGCTCGGATTACCCAGAACGGTGACAGAACTGCTGTGGGGTAGATGAGCGATGCGAACATTCGTAATAAACCATTTGGAACCCATGCGCTGTCGTTCGTGCGTTAACTGGTTTTGGGCCAGCCAGCATGGGGGTCTTATCGGACTGAGTTCTGATCGAACATCCAAGTTACGACAATCCCTAACAGTGGTAGAAAAAGTGAAGGGCAAGTTAATTTTTGTTAAATTTTCTGTAGAAATCTTACACAAATAAAGTACTCATAATAACTTCAAATCTCCAGAAACTCGGTCTATTTCGGATGCAGGACCTGAGGATAAAACAGGCAGGATATAAAAAGAGAATACCTGGACCGATTCCTAGCACAGTTTCCGTACCGGAGGCCACTTGAGTATGGCCAGCATCTTGTATTATGGAATTTATAAGGCCAAGTGAATCGGCCTTAGCTGCCAGCAAATGTCTAAAGAGGACAGTTAGATACGGAAGACTTCTTACAAATCTTCCGCAGAATCCACCTTGACTACTATTTTCGGTTGTCCCTGTCGCGTCCAGGTTTCCAGAACACCAGGATTCACTTCTCTCGCATACTCGTAGCAACTGAGTGTCGCATGAGAGCACTGGTGGGATAACCGTAACAAACATGACTCACCTGGGCAGCTATCTTTCCTGTACCCATATTTAGATCCTTACGGACAACAAGAACCATCTTCATCCGACCTTTCACTGGTTTTATGTTTGCAACTTTCATCTGCGGGAAATAGGAGACAAAGGGGGCCTACTGCAGTGCTTGAAAATCTTCGTGCAAAAAACCATCCGATCAGCACTCCCAAACCCCCGGAAAGCACCGACGACCACAAGAATGACATCGGAAACGATAAATTCTGATTTCCCGTGGTACTCGAAGTCCGATGAAATTCACGGTAATTTGAGGACTGCTCCACTGGATCACGGTTGATCTAAAACAAAGAAGAACCACAAGAAAGTAATAAAGAATCCAAACTCAACAGTCAGAAGGTCTTAAAACGCTTCTGAGGGTAATCGACAAGTGTTATGACCGATAATGACTAAGGCCTTGAACAGTTCCGACAGATCAACGGCTGCAGTTATTCACAACCTTATTGGCTGTGCCCACTAATATCGCCGCACTAAATAGAGTTTTTACTTTTGCCCACTTCAACTCCATCTGTAAGCTTGCGCCTCCTCACCAAAAGGTCCGAATCAGTCTATCAGCGCTCTTACAATGCACTGTTCGAAAGTGTTAGATCGAGGGGATGAGTTCTTGTATTGAAGTGAGGCAGCTCTCGTCAGCATTATTGTGCGGGAGACACTTACCCTTACATGAGCTTTATAACCACTGTTGTACTACCGACCCGCGAAGGTGCCAAGTTAAGCAGACCTACCTACGTGCGTCCCAAGCAGTGTTCAAGACTGACGCCTCGCTGCCGTACAACTGCAATCTATTTTTAAGCCTCATAAAAGGATGGAAGTGGACGGGGACTGCACCGGAGGTCAACCTACCATAGTCATCCCATGGTACATTTTCAAGTATTTGTTCGGGCAATCCGTCGACGTTGAACAGCAGCCATACCTGGCAGCGTCCCTAGTTATGTACAGGGATCACGCAGACGAGTGGCGCCGACAGTATGCAGTGGTTAAAGCAAGAATTTACAGACCAGAAGGTTTAAACCCAATCTCCGCACCTCGATTGCTCCTGTCTAGGCTTAGGCAACCTGGCATTACCTCAGCCTTCGTGCTTCTTTCGAATGGTATAGCAGCTAGGCAATGAAGAATGTTACGGCTATTCACTATTATTACTATTGTTATTATTATTGATCGTTTAATGACCGTCTGTTAGGTTTTCTCCGCTTCAAATTGGGTATAGAAAACAGTTTTCGGTAGACGACGATTCAGCATGCACAATAAATGATCAAACGACTGCAGCTTATGGGGCAGGGCGCATTGCAACATGGCGGAACTTGCTTTCTAATTTTCCGGTTGCAGATTCACTGGCAACAGCCTACCAAAGATTTGGTTCCGAAGCAAGTTGTGGAAGATGTTAGGAAGACAAACAAATCCACTTTGCTAACGATTTGTCTTATATACTGAAACCTTGTTTCCACATTTCAGCCTCTCACTGACATCCTATTGAACTGTTAGCTTTTTTATATTCTGGAGCAGTAGGATTCCATATTGCGGAACCATCCACTGGTTTGCGGTGAGCTGACGAGTCTGACTGATACATTATCAAAGAGGATATAACACTGGCGGCGGGAACCCAATGCGAACGCAAGCGTACCGGTTTTCAGCTGAGGATTTGGAAGCAATCCTTCAACGACAACAAGCGCAGTTCGAACAACTGCAATTGCGACTTGTTCAGTCTCTTACTCAAGTTATCAGTCTTCAGACATCCGTTCGATCTCAAAGTGGCGCTGCATCATCCTTTGCCGATTCTATCGTACCAACTGCTACCGAGTTTCCATACGAACCGGCCGCTGTGAAGGTACTCTCCGGAATGAGTTTTCTGACAACGATGATGCGTGGAAATCCCGTCTCTTGGCCAGTAAACTTGAAACTCCCGAGCACGATCGGTCCACGAACTTCGTTCCCGCCAAACTTCAAGGGATCCAAACTTTGAACAAGCAGCTGAACAACTCTGTGAAATTTCCTATGAGCAGCATTTACTTTTTAGTGTTCGATATTGTTCAGTCACTCAAGTTATCAGTCTTCAGACATCCGTTCGATCTCAAAGTGGCGCTGCATCATCCTTTGCCGATTCTATCGTACCAACTGCTACCGAGTTTCCATACGAACCGGCCGCTGTGAAGGTACTCTCCGGAATGAGTTTTCTGACAACGATGATGCGTGGAAATCCCGTCTCTTGGCCAGTAAACTTGAAACTCCCGAGCACGATCGGTCCACGAACTTCGTTCCCGCCAAACTTCAAGGGATCCAAACTTTGAACAAGCAGCTGAACAACTCTGTGAAATTTCCTATGAGCAGCATTTACTTTTTAGTGTTCGATACAATTGTCTCAAATTGGCCAAACGCCAACCCGATGATCACGTCACTTTTGCCGGCGCCATCATTCGTGAGTGTGAAATTTTTCAGTTGCAGTCGCTTAGAGAGGATCAGTTCAAGTTTCTAATCTTCGTTGCCGGTCTTCACTCTTCATAAGAATAAGAAATTCGGTTACTTTCCAAGCTTAAGCACGAGAAGGACACTACCGTGAAATTACTCACCACCGAATGATAACCTTTGCGTAATCTTAAACCCCATACCGCAATGGCAAGCAGACGTCACGACCTACTAACCCCAATGGTGTCATGGCATTGGAAGAACCACTGGTGAACATGAGAAAAACCGCCAAAATTGTGTTGGTGCTGTGATGAGTGGCATTATGAACGTTTCTGTCTATTTAAGAAGCACCAGTGCCAGACGTGTCATCTATGGGGCTATAAAGGTTTTTTGCCGTACCTAACGGTACAATCAGTAACACAGTCGAAAAGCAGTGGTATAAGAAGCGTCCGCAGTCCAGACCTGCGTTTGCAACATTCCAAGTTGAATTTGAGTCCCGAAGAAAATCGCTTACAGTTTCCACCAAGAAAATTCCAATCCGTCTGTAGCTCGACACAGCCTTCAGATATTACACTGACCTCGCGTTCCAGTTCGCAGCTGACAGTAGAAAAACCTGTTGTCATTCGCGAATCATCGGGGCAAAGGTGCATCTGACAGTACCCAATACTACTGGCTGGCAAGTTAGCCTGTAACGTATCCTTCAAGAATCTGAATTTCTCAGGAACTTGTCATCTCACTGACTTTCCTAATTTAAACATTCTTGGACTTGATTGGTTTGAGAGGCTTGACCTTTTCAATGCAAATTTATCATTTGCGCGGTGCTCTAAAATGTTCATCCTCGTCAGACATTGCGGAACACTTTAATAACATACGCAAGACAAATGACGATGTCTTCCGAAGTAGCCTTGGGTGCTGTATGAAAAACAAAGCAAGCCTTAAAATTCAACCCGATTCCAGGCCAATTTTCGGGTCGAAGCGCCCCGTACCATTTGCCGCTTTTGCAACCGTGGAGAATGAACTTACTCGTCCCCAGGAGTCCGGAGTTATCTAGCCAGTAAACGATTAATCAGGGGCATCTTTTGTTTTCATCAAAAACTCAAAGGACAAGATGCACATATATGCTGATTACTCCAATGGATTAAACGCCGTTATACTTTCACCTATATACCTTACCGGTACCAGATCTGTCCACCAAGCTCAACGGTGGAAGATGTTTCGCGAAGCTGGATCTCGCTGATGCTTATCTTCAAACAGAAGTCTCTGATGACTCCAAAAACTTCTGACAATTGACACACATCGCGATTTGTTTCAATTTAACTATGTGCCATTTGGGGTAAAATCTGCACCGGCAATATCTCAACAAAAAATGGATGTTATGTTAAACGGTTCATCAGATGTTCCTGCTTATTTGGATGACATCATTCACACGGGTTCTAGCCAAGGACTTTTCCATTGTGTACTCGAACGAATTCAACAATATGGTTTTCGTCTGCGTCTCACATCCATCAAATATCTCGGGTTTATTTTTGACGAAAATGGTCTTCATCCAGACCCAGAAAATATTTCTGCCACACAACAAATGCCAGCACTGATGGATTTAGCAACCTCGAGTCCATTCCTAGGTTTGGTAAGCCATTTCAGTTCCTTTTCGCCGGAACTGATCACAGGATGCCAGTCCGCTTTTGACAAACAGGCCACTTCCGAGTTCTGATCTGTTACTCACATTACGATCCAGCCCTAGACATTACCTTGTTTCAGACGCATCCAACTATGGTGTTGGAGCTGTCATCTCTTACGTTTTCCCTGACGGAAACGATAAAACAATTGCCCACGCAGCTAGATCCCTAACAATTACCGACCGTAGTTATCGTTAGATCGGAAAAGAAGCTTTAGCGATAATCTTCGCCATCAAGAAGTTCCACGAAGTGCCCTGTGGATGCCATTTTAGGCTCATCACTGACCACAAGCCGCTTCTCGGCGTTTTCGGATCGAAAAAAAGGCATTCCTGTTTACACAGCAAACCGTTTGCAACGCTGGGCTTCGAATTATACACAAAGCACCAGCCTACTGATGCTATTTGTCAATTTGATGCATTATCAAGACTCACTGATTCTCAACGTCAAAAACCTGAGGATGCCGTTGTTGCCGCAATAACGGTGGAACCGAAAGTTAACGCAATATGTGCACCTCCAGTTGATTCTGCCATAGTTTGTGGCGCCGTTGCTCGTCATCCGTTACTTCAAGAGGTACCGCACAGACTGGTCTGAATTATGTTTCGATAAACAACTTAACCGTTCTACCAGCGTCGATTCTCACTTTCCGAGGTTGGTGGTTGCATACTCTTCGCGGAACGAGCGATTGTGCCCCCAGAGAGATTTCCTTAAACAGTTTCATTTTGGACAACCTGATATTAACAGTATGAAGGCGCTAACACGTGGCTATGACTACTAGCCGAGCATGGATAAGCAGTTAGAACTTGTACGCATGTGCACAAAATGCCAGCTATCTGCAAAATCCCTTCCGAAAACAGAATTATGTTCATGGCCTGTTCCAGGGATTCCATCGTCACGAATTCACCTTGGTTTTGCGGGACCAATCAATCGACAACAATGTGATCCTAGTAGACGCCTACAGTAAATGACCAGAAGTGTTTAGCATGATTCATGTGTTACCATTCCAAAACTACATGTGTTTGGCCACTTTGGGGCTCCAAACGTCATAGTCTTTGAAAACGACAGTGCATTCACGTCCGCTGAACTGTCTAGGTGTGGGTGCCCTGGCAGTACCACAGCCCTCGTACAACCATGACATACACAACTAACAGTACTCTCATACCGCATCGGCGGTCGCGTGGTGCTATCGTCTTACTTGCTGTATACAGCAGGGCGGG